CCCTTCCGGAGCTGGGAAGCTCGCCAGTTTCCTTCCTTCCTTCCTTTCTTTCTTTCTTTCTTTCTTTCTTTCTTTCTTTCTTTCTTTCTTCTTTCTTTCTTTCTTTCTTTCTTCTTTCTCTTTCTTTCTTTCTCTTTCTTCTTTCTTTCTTTCTTCCTTTCTCTTCCTCTTTCTTTCTTTCTTTCTTTCTTTCTTTCTTTCTTTCTTTCTTTTATTGAAGAGGGAGAGAGCGTGCATGAGTCGGGGAGGGGCAGAGAGAGGAGACGTAGAATCCCAAGCAAGTCCCTTTCAGCTTAGAGCCCCACGCTGGGCTGAACTCAGGAACTTTGAGATCATGACCTGAGGGGACTGAGACACCCAGGCACCCCTCCCTAGCTTCCATTCTTGCAGATGCAACTTTTCTTAGCACCCAGAAAACCTAGGGAAGAGTTGACCCTCCTGATAACGTGTCGCAGGGACTAGCTGTCTGTCACCACTGACTTGGGGGTTACGGGTTTTGCAATTGGCTACCCTTAATGTCCTGGGAACTCAGTCCTGCTCTGACCTGAGAAGCAGCTGCTAGCAGTGGGGCTTCAGGGAGTTTACCCTTGAACCTCAGTCACCACCCTGGAGCCCCTGGCTTGCTAGGGTTAAGGTGCTACAGGAGAGATGTGAATTTCTTTATTGTAGGGAACACACAGGCCCAGCTCCAGACCCTTCCACTATGGAGGCAGCAGGCCTGCCCTTGAACTTTGGTTCATCTAATATACAACAACAACCAAAAACCAACTGAAGCAAGTTATAAAAGGAGGCAACATTTTTTTCTCTCTTCCCTGGTAAAATTGCAGTTAGGTCAGTGTCACTTGGATGTGCTCTCAGGTGGCATGTCCACAGACGTTCAAGTTATAGTTAAGTTTGTCCATGACTTTTCAGTTGAAAGTTTATTTCAGCAGTGTGTTGTGATAGAACATTTTTGTTAAGGTTATTTAAAAAAAAGTAGATTTCATTAATATGATTGAATAAAAAAAGTATCTTTTCTGTCAGATCAGTTTAAGAATATTGGAGGTTCAATTAGAAAGTCTTAAATATCTTATATAGTGTCATGTTCCCTTCATAGTTCCAAGAAAATGGTAGGAACAAACTCCAAATTCTTATTTAAGAAAATACACGATGGTGTGATGTTCCTTTTACCATAAACACCCGAATATGTGTTGTCCACAGTTTGTTTTTGCTGGCTCCTTAGCAATTCATGACCCTAAATTCCTGGTCTAGTCAGTGTCACCTTTCTGGTTTTTAGATTCCTAACTCTAAAATGAGGAGTTCAGACTGCACTCAAAATTCTCTTAGGCTGGGGTGCCTGGCTGGCTCAGCCAATGGAACATGCAACTCTTGATCTCTGGGTTGTGAGTTTGAGCCCCACATTATGTGTAGAGATCACTTAAGAAAATAAATAAAATCTTGAAAAACAATTCTTGTAAGTGCCTCTAATTCATACTCTTTGATTTAAGTAGACACTTTGTGATTGATGAATTAAATTGGATTTTAACCAACACGTGCTTTTCCTGGCTGTAAATGTATTAAGGGAAGAATCATTTTTAAGTACACTTGAAATTAATCCCTCCTATCCTTCCCTCCCACTCTCAATCCACCACCCCCCACCTTTTATATTATGCCTTTCCCATCACAGCAAATTTCTACCCCTTTTCTCCTCCAAATGAATTCATCTAGGAATGTAAGAATTTCATAGCCAAAGGATACAAGTGTGAGAGAATGGTAAGCAGCACCTTCTCTGGGCTCTGACTTTACTTATTCTTGATTTTTTTCTAAGATGAAAGTAAGGATATGAGGCACTGTCCTCGGCTCTTTGTTCTTGGAGCCACCTCAGTCTCTGCAGAGCCTCATTAGGAAACTTGAAGAGCTAAGCAAGGAGCATATGGGTCAGTGCTCAGTAACTGCACTTCTATTTGACCTGCCATAGTGAATTTCCAGGCTAACATGTGAATTAAATGTGATGGGTGATGACAGCAAAATAGCAGATTCCACATAAATAGAGCTCAGCACTGGAGGGATGGATGAATAGTAGTATTGAAAGGTGGGAGTGAGACACAGGGGAAGAGTTAACAAT